GTGTGTGTGTGTGTGTGTGTGTGTGTGTGTGTGTGTGTGTGTGTGTGTCTCTTCAGGCAGTCGCAGGAAGACAGCCAAGGTTCAGGGCAGAATCGTAACATAAACACTTCCAGATGTGGCGTCTCGCTTGGGACCGGAATTCGGACTGTGACTCAGTGAGTTGGCCCCCCAGCCAACGGGAGGCTTCCTGCCTCGTGATTCTGGCAGGGTGGGGGCAGGAAAGGTTCTTCTACAAACTGCCAGGCCTGGGGGCTGTCGTACTAGGGCCTCCAGAACGCTCCTGTGCAGGGACCAGGGCTTGAAGCCTTCCCCCCGCTGGCCTTCAGGGCAGGGGACCTCCCACCACCAGGCCTTCTGTCCTGCCTCCTCCGCGCTCAGGACCTGGCTGGCTGCATGCTGTGGTGGTGCTCAGCCCAGCGTAGGGGCTCCCCTGCACCAGCAGGAGGAAAGACTGGGGCTCAGCACAAGGGCTCCCCTGCACCAGTTAGGGGTGGTGCTCGGCCCAGCACAGGGGCTCCCCTGCACCAGTTGGGGGTGGGGCTGGGGCCCAGCACAGGGGGCTCCTCTGCACCAGCAGGAGGAAAGGCTTGGGCTCTCCTGGGTTCAGAAATTGAAGGAGTCGGGGCAGGAGTGACATGCCTTGGCCAGGCAACCAGGGCCTGGCAGAGTGGCACCCCCACAGGCCAGCCTGAGGGCCTACGCCAACCCCGGCATCCTGCACTCCCCCTGCGGCTGCTCTGCAGCCTCCAGGTGGACAGAAGGACTCCGAGTGGCGCGGTGACGTCAATGTGTCGAGAACCACTTGGTGGCAGTGGGTGTGGACCAGGTGCTGCTGGGCAGCCTGGAGAGGAGGGGTGGCTTTACCTCAGAGGGCACCAGAGTCTGGTGGCCCGTGAGCACCCTGCGCTGCGGGCAGGCTTCCTGGGCTGAGAGGTGTCGTCAAGGGGTCGGGCCCTGAGTGTCCCGAGTCTGACACTGAGAGCCTGAAGGGGCTCATCCCATGTCAGCTCTGTGACTGGGACCTCAGCTTCGCAAGGCCTGGCTTTTGGCTCTGGCGTCATCCCAGTCACCTGGTTGAAACTCCATTTGGTCCCTCGCGGCGCCTCAGTCTCTGGTCTGTAGGGTGGCATCAGACTTGGAAATCACCCCGGGACCTGTGTGTTGGTGGAAGGGACCCCAGGGTGTTCTGTCATTCCTGGAGAGGAGGATGTCTGATTCAGGGAGGGGGGTCAGTTCTGAGCATCAGCAGGGTGTCTGCACCCAGACCAGGAGCCCCTTAATCGTTCACTGCGCCGGGGCGATGCCAAGGGGAGGAAGGGAGGGAATAGAGGTGGGTGGGATCTGCCTCTGAAGGGGACAAGGAGGCCACCGTGGGGGTCCGAGGGGGAAGCGTCGGGTGGTCCCTGCAGGGTGCTGAGCCCCACGTTACTCCGCTCCCTCCCTCCCGCAGGAGAAGGAGAAGAAGTACATGCTGCCGCTGGACAACCTCAAGATCCGAGACGTGGAGAAGGGCTTCATGTCTACCAAGCACATCTTCGCCATCTTTAACACGGAGCAGAGGTGAGGGAAGGCCACATGCCTGCCACGGGGCCTCGGGGAAGACCTCTCTGGGCAGGGCCCGGATGATGGATCCAGGACCCACTGCGGCCGGGGACCTAGAGACATGTTCCCCAGTGTCCCCTGGCTGCTGTGGGGGCAACAGGGAGGGACTCAGGGTACTGGTCGAGGCAGATGACCAAGGTTGAGCAGGCTGGGGCTGAGAACAGGGAGGAGGAGGAATCAGGGTAGTTGCAGCCCAAGCTGACTAAACTGGTGGGTTTGGGTGCCAGAGCTGTGGAAGTGGCCCTTGGAGACTGAGCATCTGTGGCAGAGGTTTGGGAGGCTCCCGGGGAGGGTGGGAAGTGATTCCCTGGAGCATAGTCGGGGCAGGGGCTATGGGCAGGGGTGGGTGTAATGTACTATGTGAGCCCCATAGCCGTGGGGTGTATCGGGGTATGGGGCGGCCAACTCCCTCAGGCAGGTGCCCCACTCCGCTGGGATGTGATGGGCATGTGGTAGAGAGCTCTGTTGGCCATTTGAAGTCAAGGAAGGCCAGACTCTGCCTCCAGGCCAGGTGCCAGGCCACCTGCCACCTTCCTCAACCCCACTTCTGCCTCTTTCTCCAACATGGCGGCCTGTCCCCCAGCCCTGGCACCTTGCCTGGTCACAGGGCCCTGCTTCCCCTCAAAGCTGGGTTTCACCCAAGGGCTTTGGTGGCAGGCTGGCCACCTTGGCCACACCTGTCCCGTGGGATGCAGTGGCCATGTGGCCTGTGGGATGGGCTGACCTGGAGCACGCTGTCCGTGAATACTCGTTAATGGCCCTCCTGGTTTCTTCCTAGCCTTGTGGCTCTTCCCTGCTGTCTGCCCAAAGACCCACACTTGCCCAGAAATCTGGGTCCTGCCCCTGGACAGTCCCCCACCCCCACCGCTCCTGGCCAAGGGGCACACTCCAGCACTTCCTTTCCAGGATGTAGTCCCTGGCAGCTTGTGGCCGTTGGGGCAGACATTTGATGGCATTGATGCCCGAGGCCACGATAGCCACAGTTCCACGGTGCCATAACCTTACCCCGTGGGCACCCTGTGGCAGAGCGTGGTGGAGAGCGTGCTGTCGGACAGCAGTGCTCCAGACGCTGGGCTGGAGAGGCACTCCCCAGGCAGAGGGGGGTTTTGTGGGGCACGTGCCTGCTCCTGAGGAGTTTGGATTGGCAGCCTTTAACCTCCATCAGGACACACACAGGAGGAAGCAGGCAATTCCCAAAGGAAGGAGAGGAGACCGTTGAGCTACCCAAGCCCCCTGCCCACAGACCCTCCTGCATGTGCCCTGTGCCTCAGCCCCCAGGGAGACAGGGCCAGCCCTTGCCCCTAGCCCTCCAGGCTTGGAGTGCCTGGCTCTGGTTGTCACTTGGGACATAGCCCAGTACCTGAGCCTCGTGGGGCTGTGCCCCCCTGAGGCCTGCCGGCCTCCACCTCCTCAGGGCCAAGGGTGTCCCCTTTCCTTGCCCGCCACAGGAATGTCTACAAGGACCTGCGGCAAATTGAGCTGGCTTGTGACTCCCAGGAGGAAGTGGACAGTTGGAAGGCCTCATTCCTCAGGGCGGGGGTCTACCCTGAGAAGGACCAGGTGAGGAGCGGCCTGCCAGCCCCACCCCCCACCCCTGTGGAAGGGAGGCTTGTCCCAGAAGTGGCCCAGGAGGCTCCCGACGGCCCAGGACCTGGACAGAGAACGTCCTGACACGACTCTGTCCTTCTCCCCTTCTCCTCCCCTCTGTGTGGTCTGGGGACCTGGTATTCCAGTCACTCTGGCCCGGCCAGCCCGGAGTCTCGTGGTACGGCCCAGCCGCGGGGTCATGAAGAACACTTGCAGGGAAGGGGGCTGTCCTGCTCACCACCTTCCCCTCCCCTCTCCCAGGCAGAAAACGAGGAGGGGACCCAGGAGAACACCTTCTCCATGGACCCGCAGCTGGAGCGCCAGGTGGAGACTATACGCAACCTGGTGGACTCGTACGTGGCCATCATCAACAAGTCCATCCGGGACCTCATGCCGAAGACCATCATGCACATCATGATCAACAACGTGAGTGCGCGTGCGCGCCGTGGGCCTCGCCCGTCACGGGATGCCAGTGGCCAGCGAGTGGCCTGTAGCCACATCTGGCCTGGGACACTCCCTCACTGCTGCCACCTCAATGCTGACTCATAGGGACCTCCCTGTGAGCTCCCAAGACCGTCACCGTTTATGGGAGTAGAAAGCCCCAGCTTTCTCCCGCAGAGCTGCTGGCGGTTTGGAACTGCCGGCTTTTCGGATGGCAGCCCAAGGCCTAACCACTACACCACCAGAGCTCCTGGGTTGGGCCACGGTGGGCATAAAATTCAATCTAAGAGCAAGTCACCCCTGCTTTTAAAACTCAAGAATCCAGATGGGGAGTCAAGACAAATACTGTCAGCCTCTGGAGAGGTAGCTGTGGTGTCTGGTCTGTGCATGAGTGAGCAGACGCTGGCCAGCCTGGCCACTTGCCGCCCTCCTCCTCCTCCTCCTCCTGGAAACATTCCATGCTGACTCCACCCCCTCTGGGTGAGGGTAGAAAGCCCACTCCTCCCAAGGGGCTCTCACTGGTGGTTTTGAGCTGCTGACCTGCAGCCCGAAGCCCAACTTGCAGCCCCGACACCACCAGGGCTCCTCCTAGAAAGATGACATTATTTAAAATAAAATCACTGTCATCGGGTGATAAAAGAAAAAAAAAACTAGATCAAAGACCGGATTCTAGCTTCTCTAGAGAAATTGGTGGGCACAGGCCAGCCCTGTGGCCCCGTGATCACATCACCAAGTCGTCCTGGCACCACCTGGGAGTGCCGGCCAGGCAGTGGGCTCTGGTGTGGGTGGGTGGCTCTGTCACTGACCTCGGTCTCCTGCAGCACGGTGCTGCTCATGGGCTTTCAAGGCTATGGTTTCTCGGAAGGCCGTTGCCAGGCCTGTCTGTGTCAGCAGCCCTGAGTTCAGAGCGCCGTTTCCGAGAGCGCTTAACCACCCGTGCCACCGGGAACCTTGATGTAAGCTCATTTCTTCTGAGCCTCGTGCCAACCCAGAGGGGAGGCACTGCCTGCGTCCCCGGTGTATAGACGGGCACACAGGCCTAGAGAGGTGAAGAAAGCTGCCTGGAGTCACTCAGAGAGGGTGGGCTTGAAGCCCACCCTGAGTCCAGTCACTGGGTGGCCTGGTGTGGGACCCTGCTGCCTGCCCAGGCTGATACCCAGCCCACCTTCGCCTGCAGGCACGACCTGCCTGCCTCGGGCACACCCGGGCCTCTGCAGGCAGTCGGGCTCCCTGTGCTGCCTGCTCCAAGCTGTCGGCAGCACCCGAGCTTTTGACTCGTGCGGTGCGGGTCAAGTTGGTCCTGACTCCACACCGCCGCCGCCGTGTGTTACAGCAGGAGGAAGTGCTGTCCTGCCCACCACTGCCACGTTGGACGCCATTGTGGCGGCCTTTGCGTGTGTCCATCTCACGGAGGGTCTTCCTCCTCTCAGGAGGATTCTGGGAACTAACGCTCTTTCTCCCCGGAAGTAGGCCGCACCCACACTCCCTGCTTCACCTTCCTGTGGAGGCGCCACAGAGAGGCCCTCGCCACCTCTCGCCAGCGCTGAGATGTTCCCACTGCCGCTGGATCCACTAGACTTTTCACCCACCAGCCCGTGATCTTCCTGCATTCGGCGTCATTGCATGTACTGTGAGTGTGAAGAGGAATTTGTAGACTAGTATCTGGACATATGGGCTAATAACAGACTTAAGGACTTGATCTGGACTGGACTGGGATGTTTGCTCAGTATATAACTGCTCTTTGATCTAAAGCTCTCTCTTACACATCTAAGAACGTTCCTGGATTTCTCTAGTCAACCCGGTCTCACAGGTGTGGTGACTATGGCAGCTCGAGTGGCAGTCCTGAGCGCCCTGCTCTTGGTCCACATCCCCCCTGGCAATGTTGTGGGCATCCCCAGACTTGGTGGGAAAGAAGGTGGTTCTGCCGCTGGGAAAGTGCTGGGCGTTTATACCTGGCCCAGCCGTGCTGAGCAGTTACCCGGGCTTTCTTGCACAGGGATACTTTCCCACCTGCCCACCGTCAGCATAGACCCCGCCACCCTTCTCATCAAAGAGTGGAAGAAACCTAGCTGTCTATCTAATAGTCTTTTCTGACCTGGAGCCAAAGAGGAGGCTCTCCATGTCTCTCGTCCAGTTCATCCTTATTCAACCAAACTCCCCACCGTCCAGGTGATTCCGCCTCACAGCGACCCCACAGCACAGTGTAGACCTAGCCCCTGTGGGTTACCCTTGATGGAAGCAGAAAGCCTCCTCGTTCAGGGGTGGCTGGTGGTTTTGAAGGGCTGAGCCTGCCCAGTGTGTTCCCTGCTGCACCATCCTGGCCCCTATACCTATCTGTTTCAAGTATATAGCAGTACAGGAGATAGAGGGAGCCTCTGTGTACAGTGCAGAGAGCTGGAACTACAGGCAAGGGGGCTGCGCGGCAGTAGTGCATGGAAAACTGAATGAAAGCTCATGGAAAAGTCCCGTCCGCCATACGTGCACCAAGAACCCTGATGTGTGCGTGAAGACCTGCTGAGAGCACTCGCTTCCCAGGAAGCTGTGTTCGTCCTGGGTGACGAAAGAAACAAATCTAGAGACACTCATGCGTGTAAGAAAGCGCTTTGTATCAAAGAGCCGTTGTATAATAAGAACACATCCCAGCCCAGTCCAGCTCAAGGGCGTAAGTCCAGTCTTGGCCCATAAATCCAGTACTAGTCCACAAGTTCCTCGCCAGACTCATGCAGCACATGCAACGGTGCCGAGTGCGGGAAGAGCACAAGCCGGTGGGTGGGAGAGTCTTGGGAAAGATCACAAGTGGTTGAAGCATCTCAGGGCTGGCGTGGGTCTCCACGTGGCCCCTCCAGCTGTCCAAGTGTGGCTCCTTACAGGAAGGCAGAGAGAGGGTTCCTCCCAGATCTCAGGAATCTCCACGTAGCTTGTCAGCAGGAAGACAAGGGAGAGAGCGAGAAAGGAAGCTCCCAGAATCCTCCTGCAAAGGCCACGGCCAACAAGGAGGTGTCCTCAGGCTGTGACCTGATTAGCAGACTAGACTCCACCCAGGGACGTATCAAATTGGCATGAGATTCTGTCACCACCCCCGAAGGGAACCAGTGGGTGAGGGACGCCAGAACGGAAGACATGTTCATCAAACCATCTCACACTTTTATTGTTTTCTTTTACGCGTGTTGTTTCGTTTTCAACATTTAAATTGTCGGAAAGCTAATTTCATTAGTCTGGGTAGACTAGAGAAACAAATTCAGAGAGACACGTATGTATATAAGAGAGAGCTTTATGTACAAGAGCAAAATAATACTGAGAAAACATCCCAGCCCAGTCCAGATCAAGTCTTTAAGTACGATATTAGCCCGTATGTCCGATACCAATCTATAAAGTCCTCTTCAGACTCAGGAAACACATGCAATGATGCCGAATGCAGGAAGATCACGGGCCAGTGGGTGGGAAGTCTTGTGAATTCAGTGGTGGTGTAAGCATCTCAGCACTGTCAGGGGTCTCCACGTGGTTCCTTCCGCTCCGAAACTCTTGACTGCCTCAGGGTAGCTTCATGTGGCTTCTCCTCAGAAATGTCTCGCAGGGAGTGAGCCTTGTCAGTAAACAGTCTCCCAGGAGTGAGCAGAGAGAGAGTCTCCCACCTCTAAGGAGGAAATATAGGCGTTCCCGGAATCCTCAGGAGAAGGCCATGCCCACACAGAGTCCTTATTGGCCATGACCCGATTAGCAAACTAGATTCCACCCCTTCACTCCTAATCCTCTCAAGCCCCAAATTGACACCAGCGGATGTCACTACCACACAGTGCATCCCCAGGGCTTGCCAGTGGAAGGTGCAGCTGGGAGACTCGGCACTCCTGGACAAGAGCCCTGGAGCTGGAGCTTGACACTGAGCTGCCCTGTGGGGATGGACCATGCGTTTCCATCTCCAAGTTCGGCCTGACCTTCAGGGGAGACTTTATTGCAGTCATTAGCCTAAGCAGTTACCAGAAAGGTCATTGAGAGAGGTGGCCATTCAAAAGCTTGGAGGTTTTAAAGAAACAAAAACCCTCACCTTGACACCATCCATTCTGACTCCATGTGGGTGCCTCGTCGGTAGGACAGGCTTGGCTGCCCCGTGGGTTCTGCTGAAACGTCATCAGCTTCCTGGGAACAGCTGCTGGTTTCGAACTGCTGGGCTTTGGTTAGCAGCCCAGTGCGGGGCCTCTGTGCCGTGTTATTCCCATTTACAGAAGATGATTTTGGATATCTTGGAACACCAAGAAAAGTAGCTGGAAAACCCACCGATCCGATCCGCATGGAGGATTCAGGAAGGGCCAGAGTATCAAACGAAAGAACAGGGCCCAGCAGTTTGCAGAGAAAAGATATCGTGGGAGAAAAGGGGGCAGGGCGAGAGCTCAGAGGCCGGAATGCGCCTCCTCTTTGGGACTTGAGAGATCCTTGGAGAAGAGCCCTTGAATGCTCGCTCTCCTGAGAGACTGAGCATACAGACAACAGCTGGGTGTCAGGCCCTTCCCCCACGCCGCCGCCCCCCCACCCTTCTAAAACACTCCGTGCATACTAAAGTGAAACACGGAAATCACTACCCAGCATGCTGGTTGTGGCCCTGCGTGAAACTGACCCCGCCTGCTTCTGCCCCTGCCCCCAGACCAAGGCCTTCATCCACCACGAGCTGCTGGCCTACCTGTACTCATCGGCAGACCAGAGCAGCCTCATGGAGGAGTCGGCTGAGCAGGCCCAGCGGCGGGACGAGATGCTGCGCATGTACCACGCCCTCAAGGACGCGCTCAACATCATTGGGGACATCAGCACCAGCACCGTGTCCACGCCCATGCCCCCGCCGGTGGACGACACCTGGCTTCAGAGCTCCACCAGCCACAGGTCTGGGAGCCCCAGGCTAGTGGAGTAGCCACAGCAGGGGGTGCAGGTCAGGTGTCAGGGATCGGGAGGGTCTCACCACACCCACTACCTGAGAGCTGCCAGAGGGAAATGAGACAGCTAGTTGGGGTGGGGAGTGGCAGGAGCACTGGACCAGCCCCTCCCTGGATGGCAGCTCCTCCTACTTGGGTTCCTCTCCCTTGCTCACTCTGGTCGTCTCCCTCCACAGCCCTACACCACAGCGCCGGCCTGTGTCCAGCGTGCACCCACCAGGCCGGCCCCCAGCAGTGCGGGGTCCCACTCCGGGCCCTCCCCTGATTCCCGTGCCAGTGGGGACAACGGCCTCCTTCTCAGCGCCCCCCATCCCGTCCCGTCCCGGCTCCCAGGGCATGTTTGCCAACAACGACCCCTTCTCGGCCCCGCCGCAGATCCCCTCGAGGCCGGCTCGCATCCCGCCCGGCATCCCGCCTGGAGTGCCCAGGTAAGGCTGGCTGCAGACCCCATTGGGCTTGTGCGGGGCGTCAGAGGCTATGGACCAAAGCCCCCCAGAGAGCTGACTGTCTGTGGGGCTCCCAGGCCTGGTGCTCTGCCTGAAGGGGGTCCTCCTGCTAGGCACCTCTTAGGTTTACTCTTCTTCCCTGTGGATCACACCTGTGGGCACCCTACCTGAGCCCACCTTGTGGCCCTGCCCTGTGCGATCTTGTGTCAATCCTGGGGGCTGGGTGGGCGGGGCCGCTCAGGGCCACACCACAGCCCACCCTGGACAACATCCCCGTGGGGCTCACTGGGGGCAGTGGGCCTGGATCCTCCCGGTACACCTGCTTGCAGCCTTACTGTAGGTCTCCTCTCCCCTGTCCCCCCATCCCTTACTCTCTTTGCAGCAGAAGACCCCCTGCTGCGCCCAGTCGGCCCACCATTATCCGCCCAGCCGAGCCGTCCCTGCTCGACTAGGCTGTGGGGGCCCTGTTCTCAGGCCCTCATGCACCCACCACGCAGGAGCTTCCATGGCCTGGACGCTGCAGCCCCAGGCCTGTGCTGCCTGAGCAAGGGCAGGCCCCTGCGGGTAGCCTGAGTCTCCCCGGCGCCAGGCTGGTCTGGCCCTGTACCTGGCTGGACACTGACCACTGAATGAAGGGGCCTTGGCGCCCAGGTGGGAGAAGCCGGAATGTTGCACTTTGGGGGTTGGCGCCTCAGTAGCAGTGGGGGGTCAGGAGGCTGCCCCTGAGGGCCTTCTTGAGGGAGGGACCCAGGCTGCATGGGGGTATGTGCCCAGTCCGGGGCTGAGTGCCTACTCCACTGGCCTCTCAAGTCCATGCCCAGGGGCCTCGGCCACACACACCACCACCCCAGGCCGGAGTTGTACATAATCCCTCCTCCTTCGTATTAACCACACGACAGGAGCCCGGCCAAGCCTCGGCCACCAGAGGTGCCTTCGCCAGCCTAGCTGGCCTCTCTCTGGGGACCCCTGGGCGATGTGGGCTCAGGCTGTGTGTGGCTGGGGAGGCCTCAGGGGTCTCTGGGTCCTGCCCAGACCTGCCTTCCCAGGGGGATGGGGGCCCAAGGTGCTCTCTGGGCGGACCCCAACTGCTCCTCGCTCAGTCTGACCACTGTAAGTGCCTGCGCTCTGTATCCGATTAATAAAACTAAAATGAAGGGAAGCCCCTCTGGCTGCAGCCCGTGTGGCCTCTGGTGTGGGCGGGCCTGTGGGGACTGGGAACCGGGCCGGGGAGGCTGGCGCTATAGTCGCAGACTCGGGACTGCATCCTGGATTGTGGGCTGGAGCACAAATGTTTTCACTGCTCAGGAGGCGAGCGTTGAGTACTTTTCCTCTGAAAAGGGGGCAGTGGGTCAGACAACCTCTGGCCTGGAGGGAGGGACCTCAGCTTTCCTTGCTGCGCACATGCATGCTCGCTCACTGGTACACGCTCTCTGCGTGCCGACCTGCCAAGACACTGATGC